GTCATCCAGGTCTGTTAATCACAACTGCAACACCAGACTTAACTCGCTCAATAACTGATGTACAGAGCTAATGTTTACAGTTAAATATCAAGATTCACCTCCTCATTTTCGGCCTGTAAGACCCCATTAAGTGGGGACTTTCTCAAAAACTGCAATTCCCCGAAAACAATGACAGCACGGCACGGCGCCTAGCATTTATTTTCTAAGAGAAGCGACAAATGTCTTGTGGAGAGCACAACAGGCTCGAGGGTGGCGAGGGACAAGCAGGCAGCATGGATGGAGATCAAATCTTAAATGAGCTGATGGGAGGGGGGGAGTAAACAATCACATCTGAGATCCATTGTGTATTCAAGGCAAATACATGCAAACTGCAGCTTAAACTCTGACTACAGAAATACAACTCCTTTCAGGGGCTGTATGAGAGATTTTTAGGAGATCTCATCACATTACTTTGCTCTGATTAACTTATGAACAATCCTGCGATCATCACGATGAGGTAGTAGTTCATGCACTCATCATCGGCTGTGAACTCAAGCCAATAAACCCTTACATACAGAAACAAAATAGCGCTTTTGGTTAGGTATAAATGTATGCTTTATACTCCATATTAAAAACTTTTTGCTTCAAATAAAGTATGCTGTATCTCAGTCAATAAAGGTGTGACAATGCTAACAGAAAATAGGTGTATTAACTCATGTTGCACCAGGCACTGCTGCAGCATGTTCCATGTGGGGTGTGTAAAATGACTATACCGTGAACCTTCAGTTTAAATCGTCACATTTTTTTAAGCCACCAGCTTGAGACTCGCTTCGGTGCTCCTCCGTGGCCGTCACTCTCTCACAGACACACACACACAAAAAGAAAGATCCACACCTCCGGCTTTTTAGTCGCATTATGCGACCGTGGAGCACCAGTGTGGCTTGCAAAAATTAATAATATAAGAGCTGGAGAGCTGTTGGTTTTTCTCCAGCTGACAGTAAATAAATCCCCACATTTGCCAGTGCCGTAGTAACACTTAAACTTAATAAGTCTGACGATAGTGTGAGCAGACGCAGCGTGTATTTTTGTGTCTGCGGAGCTCCAGACCGCAACCATTTAGTCGCATTTTGTGACCACAGAGCACCAGTGCGACTTGTAAATGTTATAATATAAAGGACTGGAGAGCTGTTGCTTTGTTTCCAGCTCACTGTGAATAAATCCTCGCTTTTAAAGGTTCGGCAGAAACTGCTTAACTTTTTGCTAAATGCTAACAACACCTGTATAGCTTCAAGTTCAAGCTCTGGTCCGAGATGAGCTGGTGCTTCAGAATAAAAGCACCAGTGGTTCTGCTTTGATTTATTTAATTATAACAATACTTTGGCTTTATTATAATGGGATTTTATTTAAGTTATTTCTAATGATAAAGATGTATACCATGTATAAAAATATTGCATTATTTTCAAGCATATCGCCCAGCCCTAGTTGTATCACTGCAAAGTAATAAGTCCCAAAGGGAACTTCTTACTTATGTCCATTGTCTGAAGACAGCATGATTATTTGCACACTGAAAACAAGCAACCTAAACTTTCAGAATTATATGGAATTCTCTGGCAAAGCTTACATCTACACAACAGACACAACTAGCGCTCTTATCTACTGCAACTTCATGAAACATAGATAAGAAACATTATCAGTATCCAAGATCAAACACACAGGAGCCATGTAAACCGAGAAAAAAAAAACTAAGGTTATGTTTAAGTCATCTGTTTCCATACCGATATTTATTTTATAAGTCATGTGACAACAGCTGTCAACAGCCCCAGGTCTCACCTGCACGGCTGCACCATGACATAACTTCCCAAAAATGAAAGCAGAAACGCTTCCCACTAAATCTGATGGATTGCCTTACCAAGTTTTCAAGTCTCAGCAAGCTTGTGGTCAGAGCGTGCTGCGTTGGCACTCTTTAAACACCTGTAAAACACCGTGTCCCTGGTGTTCCAAGCGTATAATCTGCATTACAATCGGACTCACTAAACACTTCTACGCAGAGCCAGAAAGGAGTTGCACAAAGATGACTTAAATGACGGACATTTTAATAAGATACCACAATGCAAGATATGCCTGTGTGGAAGTTTTAACCACTACGGGGCTGCATGATTATGAGTTATTTTAGTCAGTACTTCCATTTTTTCTAACATACAATGCGTTATCTGTAACAGAAAAGTGCCTCCTGTAAATAAAACTTAAAATGTACACATCTATGAATCACAATTTCATTAAAGTAAGTGAAATTGGGCGGAGAATCTACATGAAAAATGTCACAGTAACAACCAACTCTAATTATTCATGGAAGCCAAACTCAGGACTGCAATCTTATTGTTATAAGATTGTGTGCACACTTAATTAAGATACAAAAATATACACATTTTATTACATCTCTCTGTGTGCTTATTTTGGTTTAAACTTGTTTTACAGTGCATATTCTCTCCAATTACCGCAATACAATAAAATCAGACGTTAGATTTCTTTGTTGTCTAAAAATAGTGGGGTGGTCATCTCAGTGCTCAGCTGGAGCCCTTTATCTTTGAAGAAAGAATAACATCACTGAATTTCTATTTATCTGAATATACAACGATTGTGTGAGATATTATGAGGACAATCTGAGACTCTGTGAATTCTAGTTTCCTGTGCGATGAACTGTCTTAAATATTCTGAAATGTATAGACTTATGACTGACAGATCACACAAGACATATCACTTATTAGCCTGTTTCCAAAGGATGAACTGGAGGTACACTGTATCCACTCAGCCATCTGAAACAAGAGCCACGGCAGTCCAACGCAGCGAACTGTGAATGCTTTCTCATAAATCCATTTCATTTGGAGCACTTGTGTGATTTGATGACCGTGTGAGGTGAGCCTGTGTGCCAAAATGGAACTTCTAGTTGGGGGTGAAATTAATTAATGCAGCCATCTCTCTGACTGCACTGCAATTCTTTCCCCTCTTAGCACCAACTTCCATTTATTTGTATTGAGTGAGAAGAAGAAAAAAAACATACTAATGCTTAGCACAATGAGAGCCTACAGTATGCAGCCGGAGGTAAATAATTGATATGCTTTGTGTAAGCGGCGGCCTGAGCTTTGTTTGAAATCAGTGGAGCCATTTCCATGAAGGTGCACCAGCACTACCCACTGTCCAAAGATCAACAGAACCTTGCCTTGGTTCACAGGACTGTTTAACTGACTTAAGTGTAATCAGTGTGCGTCCATTTTAATGGATAAAACGTCGTAATGGATTAAAGCCTGGTGGATAATCCACAATGTGACAAACGGCGACATCTGCCTCCCTGTCATTCTCACTGTGAAGATGCTCGGACTCAGCAGAAAAAGGGTTTATATTCTGGAGCAGCTTTGCGCCGAATAACTTTGTTTGTAATGAAGTGACTTACGGAGAGGGTGTAACGGCACACAAATAGTGCTGAGACACACCAGAGTCACTTTAACCAGTTATATAATGGTGTAACCTATTTGAACGGGTTTCTAGCTTGTAACAGCATGCGCGTGCTGCGGGGGGTGCGTTGCCCCGACTACTATTATTTCACTACATCTTCATCGTATCAATGCGCAAAGATAAATAACCCCCAAAGCTGGATGTTGCATCCCTCAGTAGTTCACCACTTTAACACGGAGCACATAACGCTGACATGTAACACACACACACACACACACACACACACACACACACACACACACACTCCATCCTATAAAGTCTGGTAAATAAACGTGTGTGTCTGTTCCGCAGCCCGCCAACTCGCAAATATCACTCACACAACAACATCACGGAGCGTTTAAAAGCCAAAAGCTTGAAATTCATGCTGTGAAATTCATGTCGCAGTTTCCCCCCCACTCCTCGCGAGCTTTATTTGTAGCATATTCGCTTCTTAAAAGCGTCTGACTCAAATTACTACACCCGCACGAAGCTTTGATGTTTCCATGCATGATGCTGCTACAGCGAATCCAGTCCCGATATCACGACAACACAGCCCGGAACCTCATTGGAAATTCCGCTAATTTAAGCTTCTCTTGTGTGCCAGCGGTAATGCGTACGTATTATGAGCGATTTAAAGACAGTGTGTTGACGACACTGAGGTGTTTTCCACTTCGGCTAACCTTTAAAACATAAAGAGGCACATGTTTTATTGAAATTATAACTTTTATAACAGGTTCACCCGCCGTTCTCATAGTCAAGCCACTGAAGTCCAGCGGGATGGCCGATAGTGAATGAATTCTTAAAACTGTGATTTAATGGAAAAGTAGTGCTGATTCAAGAGAGATCTTCACGCCGAATTCATCAAAAAGCCGCCTTATTATACATAAGTCATGAGTTGCCTGCTAGTTTCTACGACTCTTTCGCTAAGTCATGTCCAGTTAAATGGACAGAGTTGTGAATAGAGTTTGCTGTAGCGTCTCCTGAAACTGCACGCTGGCAGGGCTGCTGCATATTCCACTTTAACGCACCGCTGTTCTCTGTGATTTACAGCAGCCCAGGCTCCCTCCTGAACAATATGCCACAAAAGTAACCAAGCCAGCGGACTGAGCAAACAAACACCCATGTAAGCATGCCAAATGTATGTCCCTGCGCCTCCTGAGCGACACAAACACCACGTTATTTCTTTTTTCCACACCAGAATTGGCCACATTTAAGAGTTGCCAGCTGTGTAAGCGGCAAAGCCATTTATAATGGTGAGCTGACCAAAGTGATGTATTCCTCGGCTACGTATCTGTAACGCCTGTTTTTGTACATGGCAGACACATAAATGTGCCCATTCCCGTCTATATTTCAACTTTACGGACAGTTAGGTTTTCTTACTTGCTCAACAACATTATACATCCAAATGCTCTGCCGCGCACGTTCAAAAATTGCCCAGTACGCTGCTAAAATGACACTCCTTCATATCTGCATCCACGGAAATGTGAGGGGAAAGTGTGTATTCCGTTTAGACATCAAAGGAAAAGTCCTACCTTTACGAAGAGCCGCTTGAAACATGAATAAAAAGAGAATAGTCGCGAGAGAGCCGCTGCCAGTGTTCGCCATGTTGGACACCTGCTTCAGTATGGCAGAGAGAGGCAGCTTCACCTATAGCTACAACGGGACTCACTTAATGAGATGCGAGAAAGGGAGGGTACTATACTGTTTACCATATTCATTTAATTCGCAGTTTTGATAAATCGTGTTACTTGTAATGAATGTGTGTGATATTACACAACTCTGTGCATCTATTTAATATTTAAAAAAGGAAAATAAAAAAAACTAAGGGATGCTCTCAGTGCTTTTAACGTTGTGTTGTACTGCAGGAGTGCTGAGTAGGGAGGCGTGTGTGTCTGTGTGTGTGTGGTGTTATTGGATGAGTCCCATCCTCACAATCCTGGTCTTTTTAAGCTCCTGCCTCTCTTGAACCCAACAGATTTTGTCAAAGTTTTTTTTTTGTTCTTTTGTATTTGGTGTTTTATACCAAAAGCTGCACTGTTTGTAGTGGGCAGTATCTTCAACAAGCAGGGCCAGCCTTTGGATTTTCAAGGCCCCAGGGTCCCGGCTGCCTACACAACCAGGTGGGTCTTCAAAGCACTTCCCTAAATCAGAGAATCAGTAGTCATTTTTTACAAAGATCATGCAATAGAGCTGCTACAAAGTCCCTTCTTTATGCCACCTTTGCATTTTTATGCAGAACTGAACAGCGGCAGCACCACTCTACTCCAGGGTGTCATTATAGACAGCATGTCAGCATTGCAAAATAAAAAAGAGGTGTGACAGGCGTGGTATGTAACGCAACAGCGTCAGCCTCTAGTCTGTGTATAACATGTGTTGGCAGTGCTTTATAAACAATAACAATGTCAAAACATGCCAATAACAATCATTTACCGTCTGATCTTGACCCTTGCATGGAGGGTAAGGAGTTCCCTGACCTCACTGTTTTCCCAATTTGCGGACTTTTACAGCTGCTGTTCTTCTTCTTTGAGTTAGCCGCTAACTGCTAACAGCTACTTTTTAAATCTCCCACACTCACACTCCCTCATCATTATTTTATTTATGTTTTTCTTTAACATAAATTAACACAAATGTTCTCTCTAAATCCTTTAAGTTGTGAAGAAGACCTCTTCAAGTGTAATGTATGCTCCATTTTTAAGCTGATGTACATGTTAAGAAATACATTTCATAATCCTCAGAATTACGACCACTTTCTTTTTATTACCAGCTTTTGTTGTACTTTTACTTTCAACACTTAATTACGTTTAATATAACAAAATAACTTTTAATACTACAGTACAGTAAATATCAGCTGCTTTAAGACTATTATTTAAGTAATCTTTTAATACGTAATCTTCTATCAGAGTCATATTCTGGTACCATATCTGTATTTTCACTCAAGTGTTGGTTTCATTAAAATGCTACCTGAATCATAGGCCAAAAATAATATTCAACCACATCATGATAATATGTACAAATATAGGCTATAGAGGTAATCAGAATGCATTTTATCATTGCAGCCTACCCTTTGGGTTGTCCAGTTTAATGTCAAATATATAGGCAAACAAACTGGATAACAACAAGTAGGATATACGTTATACAGAAATGTATTTCCTTCACTCATAAAAAAGGCTTTACATGGGATTTATATCTTGTTATCTGCTGGTGTGCTTGCATGAAGAATATAACAGCAGTGATCACAGTGTACATGACTGTAATTGTTTTTCTAACATTTCCATGGCAACGAGTGAAAGACTTGAGACCTCACCAGGGACGTTGTAGTGGGGGGAAGTGGGACTGATTAACTTGAGTCCCAAATGGAGGGAGGCCTCAGAAAGTCTGGAATGAAAACTTGATGATGATTTTGTTTGTATTTTTTTTTTATTTCTATGTAATCAGTGCCATAACTAAACTGAAATTGTCTGAATAAATTGGTTAAAATATGGAATCTAGTATAGAAAAAATAATGGAATTTCTCTGAGGCACTTATCACCCCAGAGGCACAAATTGGTTTGGTCCACCCCTGCACTAGAATTTGTCTCTAAACACAGCTAGAGACAGTGAGTGACTACTTATGCTGCTGGAGCACTAACATGCACTGTCATGTCTTTCCCCAAGAAAGGGAAATCGATGTTCCAAAAAAGAAAAGACAGAAAGAAAGACAAAGGAAGCCAACTGACTTTGTAAAAACAAAAAAACAAAATCAAAAGGTATTTGAGAGAGACGAACATCTAGAAAGAGTGGGGGGCCCACCGAGAAAATTTATGCCCAGGGCCCAAAATTTGGAGCTACGCCCCTGGGCCTGTATATCAGTGGCTTGCAGTCTTTGCCCTTGCAGACTTTACGTGGTGACAGTAAACACATTAGTGTGACTGAAGTCCCAGAGGGCTCAGTCCACAAGTCAAGAAGGTGGACATTTGGATTCAGCCAAGCAGTGAGGTTTGACTGAGCAATAATACCATTACAGGACCAGAAGACTTTTATTGTGACAACATTAAAGACATTTACACCATAAATGGGTGCATAAAAATTAACAGAAATGCAGGAAATTAAGTGTCTGACACTCAAAACTTTCTGGTGGAGGATCACCAAACCCCCCGATTCATATGTGCCTCCACCCCCCACAATGCTGAATCAAAACCTACACCCTTGGGGGAACAGTCTGTATTTCAGGGACCTGGAGAGCTGGTCAGCCAGGTGGGAGCTGGTCTGGTGCTAGTCTCATTCACTCTCTGGAAGAAAGTCAGTATTAGTGCTTCTTCTTCTTCCTTTGTCTTTTTATCTTTTTAAATTATGTATATCCAAAACATCTGACTGCTAAAACACAAGGCAGAACCTTGCCAGGTTCTTAAAAGTTAAGGTTATGGGTCATTAATTTCACATCATGGAAAAAATGCCTTTAGCCTGTTGTTTTTATTTCTTGCAGAAATGTGCATTATGAAGCATAATGGAGTTCCCAAGCTGTGATGATGACTTTGCTATCCTCTCAGTTGTGATGAGAAAAATAAAGCTGGGTAAAAATACTGGCCACATTTAAGTCTGAGACACAAAGAGTTTGTCAAGCTGATACAGGTCGACAAGTATTGAGATTGCTTTAAGATACAGGATGTCAGTGGGTCATTTTCAAATTGCTAAAAATACTACAGCCACACATCAAAAAGTAAGGGTCCAATTACAGCAGGGAAGGGGAGGCAAACACACACACACACACACACACACACGCATGTACGTTACAGGTACACAAACATTTTCAGAGGTTGTTGCAAGGCGGAAATTATCAGCAACAGTTTTGTTTCAGTTAATAAGATGCCTGATTATTTAATTGAATACTCTTTTGATTATCTTTGATTTGACAGAGATAAACAAATCAGGGTGGATAAGATCCAGCAACCTGCAGAAAACAGCCACAATTACCTAAACTGAATTAATTATTTTGCCTAAAGTTTATTTATAAATACAGCACAAAGGAGGAGTTGTTAAAGCCTTGGTTGTGAAAATGCAGAAAGGAGCAAATTTGACTAGAGGCCATTTTCAGTTATGGCGCATAAACATAACTAAAAATGGTCTCATTTGTATCTTCTTTTTAATGTTCAATATTTTTGGACCCTAAAAACGTGGTTCATTGGTGGACTTTAGCTCATCCATGTAAAACCAAAGAACAATCTACAAAGACAGAAAGAGAAGAAGAATATAAGAGGTAACCAGGTAAAATGATCAGTTCTTTTTTATCATTTATTTTTCATTTATTTCAACTGGTAGTGTGCACGACAGCAGGTTCTTTGGTTAGTGCCATGATAGGCATTAATGACCTTCTGGCCAAACTCCAAGCAGCTGCCTCCGCAGTGCAGGCCTTGAACATTGCTCACTCAGATTTTGTGTCCCCTACTGCAACAGGATGCAAGAAAAATACCTCCTGAGGTGAGAGATAGGGTCCTTGTGGACAGGGACCTTGGCCAGACAATACTAGTTAACCCTCGCCGCAGGTTACCCTACAACCTTACCCACCTCACTTCCAGGTGGAGATCAGTTGAGATGTCTGCTCCTTTCTTTACGCAGTGGTCAAGACAAACAGCTGCAGATCTGATGACCACAATGCCAATCATTGACCTCTGGCCTAAGGTTTTGATACCAGGTACAACTTATAAACCAGCTTTTGCTGGATGATGGTGTTATGGACAATGCATCCAATAAAGTGGGATTTATACTTATGTGTTGAATCAACATCGTAACCTATGCCGTGACCTGAAGCGCACCTTGCACCAGAAATTTACTTGTTGCCGTGACACAGACCTCCTGCCTATTTTTGTAAACTGAAATCATTTCCCTCAGTGGAAACGAAGCTTTGATTTACTTTTATTTCACAGAAACTATAAATTGTGAAGACAATAAAGCCTCCACAAAATAACATTTTATGTCTTGTGTGTGATTTATCCTGGCTTCATATCAGTAGAGGAAATCTCTCCTCGTCACTAGGCTAATTTATACAATTTAAAATGCCACAGGCTTGTGCTAATAACGTTAGCATGTTATATTTGTTTGGAAAACATGTTTAGTATAAGACAGTTGTTTTGTCTCTGAACCTTGTGAGTTGTAATGGAGCTAAATTTTGTAATGTTACCTTTGTTAAATGTTGCTGTTGTCCCTGGTTGTATATGAGTAGAGGAAAAGTCCACTAGCCACTAGGCTAATTTATACAATGTAAAATACCATATGCTGGTGCTAAAAAAATTAGCATGTTGTATTTGTGGGGAAAATGTGTCCAGATAAAGACACGTGCTTTGTCTGTGAAAGCTGTGAGTTATAGTGAGGCTCATTTGTGTACTTGTAATTAAAGTTCTCTCTATTAAGCCATGTTTAATGTGTGGTTTGGGTGTATTTTGAATCAAGTATACTTCACAACACTTCACAGAAGCCCCACCACCGACTAGTGTTTTGTACCACTGCACAAGTACAAATGTTCATAGCTGCATAGGCCACATGTGTAGGCTATGGCGAAGGCTCTGTTTAGAGCCAATCCACCCAAATCCCCCTGCAAGACTGGATATGTACTTGTTTTTTAACCACACATTCGCAAAGACAGCCAGCTGCATCGTGTATGTATTTGTTCATGTATTTGCCCAGGTGCTATGCTTGTTACTGTAGGATTCCACTAGAGGGCACACCACAGATCTCAGACCTGATTTGCATCAAGAAACATGGTGAGCTACAAACGCTCAGGGCTGCTTCCTTGTTAACTGCCATCAGCGCATTGGTCACATGATCGTAGCCTTTCAAAATAGGTGGGAGATGCA